GAATCAGTCCAACTGGCAAGACTAAATCAAATATCACATATACATCTATGGCATAAAATTAAGGAAGTGGTGCAAATGAAGTGGTTGATTCTGAAACCCTTTTCAATTTAGAGAATTGAAGTTGTAGAGTTGAACTCTGTTTTTACATATAAATGCATACACACCTGTCGGTTCTGTACGTGAAAAACACTCCGCCACCTCGGAATCAAAGCCCTCACACTCGGACACGGTCAGACGTCTGGTGACTGGCATAATGCTTCGATAATCTCGATAAATGAAGAGAGTACTGCAGTGCTGCTGTAGCTAGCTGAGACAATGTCAGACAATGGCGTGACATCACAATATCGCCTAATGACGTCATAGTGACGTCTAGTCGGTAGATGTCGCTGTCCGTTCGGCGAAAATACCTTCGGAAGAAATCGGCATATTTCGTCTTGAGTGTGTTCCGATTGGTACACAGCCGAAACATACTATGATCATGAGATGCGCCTTGTTCTTTGGTATTATTTCATGGGCTTATATCAAATGATTATGAACAATATCAATCCAAAAACTGTAAAAGGAATTGGCGATATTTTCATGTGTTTTTTCAAATGTATTTCTTTTCTGAAAGAGATTTTTTTTTTATTGTGATCTATCAGTGGCATTTCACAATTGTATTTATATCTGTAAACATGTGCTTGCGCAGGAAAGCAACAGGGAAATAGTTTGGTCAAGGCCAGATGAAAGTGTTGAAAAAACCCATTAAGGGTTGAAAAGTCCCTTCTGTGTTATCGGTAAAATGAGTGATTCAGTTGGGTTTTAAGGACGCATTTAACATAATTTCGGTTAAATAGCGGCGTGTCAGATGAATTATGTTTTTTTCTTAAACGTTTGTGAGGATGAAAACTCAGCATCGCTTCAAACTTCTTAGTTCGATACACGTCACTGAGTTACTCAAATATGGAAACTTCTACATCCTTCCGTATCTCTATTTTAGGTCTCAATTTGAAAACTGAAAATGACATGGACCAGTTATCCTTTTAAATTTCCCACCCTTTTTCTTGTTATTTTACGCCATGCACTGTTCATGATTATAGCAGATGGACCAGTTGTCTCGCGCGAGGCAAGACGCTGTGCAGACATGCGTCCTTCTTAGACGTACCATATACAGAATTCTCTGGTCGTCGGTTCTTGATTTGTAAGCACCATACAATAGGCTGGAGAATTCTCACTTAGCTTATGATAACATATGAATATGTTCCCGTGTTTGTTCAGGAGAACGCTTGACTTGCCTTTGTGTGTGTTTGTGACCGGTGAGGCAGGATATACTCCCCTTTTCGCCAACATCTGGTGTCATCACTATTTATTAGTGATTCAGAAATACATCTTTATAATACATTCGGAATCGTACAATGGACGCTGCTTTTAGCAGAACTTTCTTATGATTATGGATAGAGTTTTGTCTATTATTTATGTCTATTATATAAGATATATATATATGTATATATGTTTTGTGTAGCCATCAATTCAACTAGCACCAAGGCCAGTACTAAGGGTATGCCCCCAGCCGATCACACAGGTCATCAAAGGGTGTTGAATGAATCTAAAATATGTTGTATTCTTGTCCTGAAAAGATTAGTTTCAATTGAGTAGCCTCGTGGTTAAAGCTGTATTTGTTTGTTTGTTTGAGTTGTTGTTTAACACTGCTCTCAGCAATAATCCAGTTATATGACGGCGGTCTGTAAAATATCGAGTCTGGACCAGACAATCCAGTGATTGACATCATGAAGATCGATACACGGAATTGTAATACGATGATATGCATCAACCAAGTCAGCGAGCCTGACCACCCGATCCCGTTAGTCGCCTTTTCGGCAAGCATGGGTTGCTGAAGACCTATTTTAACCAGGATCTTCACGGGTGAGTGGTAAAAGCGTTCTTAATGCCATAATAAATGTACAGTTGTAGGTGATTTAAAAAACAGAACAAAGAATATAACAGTATAATAAGACCATCCATTACAACACCATGTGTAGCAAAAGTTCAGTATGCAGTTTTCTTCAAACTGAAAGAAAACTGGTCAACTTCACATGTCAATGCTGGAGAGATGTCCTGTTCAATTACTACGATTGTGGATGGTGGACATAAGTAGCATAGCTTTTGATATAACCTGGTGTAGAAAAGAAACGTTACCACCTGAAATTTGGACACGTTGTTTCCGAACCTTGAGCAGTGTTACATGCAAAATGGATGAGAATCAATCGCCTAAACACAACCAAAATAATCTGCTGAGTGACACAGTACCCAGATCAATGGAAATTGAGTCTGAAGTGAAGATGCTGCTACAGGTGCAGCATGGCAACCAACAAACATACGGTTATTAAAGGAACGATGTACTGTTCATGCATACCCTAACCATTGGACAGTGACAAATAGCATGCCAAGATTAACGCTGCACCTGAGAGAACAAGGCGGAGATATGATACATCAAGGAGCAATACATGACCAGGGCCCACTTGCAGAAAGCGATCTTAGCTCTACGACTATTGTAAGCCTATGTTAAAGAATAAGATTAGATCGCTTTGTGTAAGTGGGCCCAGGTCGCAAGGAGCTTTGCTGTAGCCGAATAACAGTCACCAGGCTCATGGCCCGTTTGGCCATCAATATTTTGTTATGTGTTTCTAATCTCCAACCTTAACCAACAAGAGAGCGGGCGGACCAACTTTGTAAAAAAGTAAACAATTTAAAAAGTGTTTTCAAATAATTGCGTAACATATTTTATGAAATTTTAAAGTTTAGAACACTTGGTAACAGCTCTTACTTTAATTTACTTCGAACCGTTAAATGTAGCGGCGTAATGGTTTGGGCCAAGTTAAGACAGACCTTGTGATTTATGAAGGCAAATATATACTTCTGGACAGCGTTACATTGATCAAGTTCTCCGCCCTGTTGTACTACCGTTCTCATAAGAAAAATCCGGATCCTGTTTCAGCACGATAACACAAGGCCACATACAACGTCTCGCCTTCATCAGATAAGACTTATCACCCATAGAACACTCGTGGACCTCCTTGACCGTCAAATTAGAGCACGGCCAGTTAGCCCTAAAACAGGGATCACAGAGCCCCGAGAAGACTGGCGTCGAATCCGTTAAAAACATGACTTTGCACACGAAATATTCGTTAATTATACGACAAAACAGGACTTTCTCGCGAATCCAAATTTGAATGTTGGTGCTGAAAAAGAAGAACAGTGTGTGTATCTTCTTCCGACATCAGGGGGAAGTCTCTTAGGGTGTCCTTACTTATGTTTGTGTTTCTCATCTACAAGATTTTCCAAGAGGGGGCCGGCGAGTGGGAAAAGAGAAAATAAGGAGAAAATAAATGTTTATCCGCGACGTTACGAAGATTTAGTCATGGTCAAAGGGAGACAATTCAATCTATTTTTAATTCCATTGGGTAACGCTGTGGTCATTGTGGCACAATGAATATCATAGTTACTGCAGTGCCGATTTACCCAAATGCATTTTGGCATAAACCCATATCCCATTAGATCAAAACTTTGACGACGGTACAATATATTTTTTTAGAATGGCAAGTGCAGACGACATGACGTATGCTTTAGGATTTAACGATCTAAAGCCTGGCATTGTTTTTTTGTTTAACGCCGCACTCAGTAATATTCCAGCTATATATCGGCCGTCTGTAAATAATCGAGTTTGGACCAGACAATCGAGTATTTGACATGAGCATCGATTCAATTCAACTGGGATACGATGACATGCATCAACCAAGTCAGCGAGCCTGACACCCGATCCCATGAGGCGCCTCTTAGGACAAACATAGTTCCCTTTTAGCGCAAGCATAGCTTGCTGAAGACCTATTCTACCCAGGATCTTCACCGGTATGTATCTATATTATGAAATTGCTCAGTGGATGACCTTAGAAAATATGAGTATTGGTAAGTCCAGTCAGAGTTGATCTGTCATATATACTACTCATCATTTGCTAAGGACCACCCTTTGCCTAAAGATGACTTGTTTGGTTCTTAGCAAATGTTGAGTAGCATATATACACCAGGGAAAAGTCCAAGTCTTATCTTGCAGCTGTGTAAGTTTGCTATTATTTACCAACCGGAAGTCATGATTGGTTGGTTTATTGTTTAACGCTGCACTCAGCAATATTCCAGCTATATGACGGCGGTCTGTAAATAATCGAGTCTGGACCAGACGATCCAGTGATTGAAATCATGAGCATCGATCAATTGGGATCGATGACATGCATCAACCAAGTCAGTGAACCTGATGGTATGCAGAATAATATATGTTGCAGATTGATGGAATATTGTTGACCTTGGGCAGTCTATAGTTCTAAGTACAGAAACTTGTATTGCTGGCACAGTGTCTCATCTGTGTTCCCTGTGCAGTAGGAGGTTGTTCCCCACTGTGTTGTATCATGTGCCATTGAAACGTTTTAGACTGCTGAAATTATCCATTACATAGTATCAAACACATAGGTTGATGCAAGTTGACTGAATATGAACCCATTATCTACATCGGCAAGTGATGGTGTTCTCAATACACCAGCTACATGTTCCCCACCATAGTTAGTAGAACGTCTATTTTACAAATTTATTTTTCCAGGAGGCGACTTGATGGTAGAGACACTGTTGATACTACGTGTTTCCACGAATCACATCATGCACTGATCATATTCTATCTTTAATAAGTACTTATGTAACTTGGGGTGTTTCCTGTCATTAAGGGGCATTGGGGAGCTTAGTGGGTAAAGCGTTCTCTCTTCCCATGTATAGGTACACTCTATGAAAGTCCACCTTCGGTGTCCCTGCCTCGATTGTGGAAGGATACTTCTAACAGCATAATTTAAATCACTAATGAATGGAAGGTGAACCATTGTCAATTTGTTCAAATTAATGGAACACATGTCCAATACATGTTGACAGATCTCTTGTAACTAGTGAAAACCAACCATTGTTAACAAATAACGAAGACGTGGATATTGAACTGAAACAATTGTTATTACCACCATTAAAAAGGACTGAATTACATTAACATTTGTTTCTTCTGAACAGTTTTGTAAAACGACCAAAGAAAGATTTTGACTTTTGTACATTTTGTTTCTGAATACAAGTTTCTATTAAATTAGTTGTGCTTGATGACATATGTTTCTTTGATGACAGACTACTTTGAGAGAGTTCATGATGTCTTGTTGACCTATTGCCTTGTTCACGAGGCATGTCATTCTTTGATTGAACAATGTGGTCAAAACACGTGGTCTGTGTAGCCCCTGACCTCTGGACAAGCCCAACACCCTCTCCCTCTCCTGAATGTACACGCAGTCTTTCAGCTCTCAACATGTCCCTCTCCTTCACCAAGCGATCCACCTGCTCCCCAAGGGAGACTTTCTCCCCCGAGAGTTGTCTGACTTGTCTCTGAAGATGTTGGTTCTTCAGTTTCAGACATTGGGAACGGAGTCGAGCATCTCGTAGGTCAGCCCGGAGAATGTCCACATCAACCAGGACAGCCGTCAGCTGCACGTGAAGGTCGAGCTCTTTGCCAAGTTGTTTGTCCTTTTTACTACAGTCCCATTGGAATGGTGGCTCGGGACGAATAGGTCTTGGTTTTATTGTGACGTGTTTGGGAACCAAATTGTGGAATTCTGAAAACGCAATAATCGAATTTAGTATATAATCAATCAATCCAATTAACCGGGGGTTACAACAAGCACATTTGGAAATAGGGTCCTTTTGGATCAATCCCTTGAAATAGGTCAAATTACAAGTTTCTAGTATGCAGTCACAGGTAATACCACAAGGATCTAAACAATGTATTTGGAACGTTCTGCGCCCACTTCGGCCAGGTTCAATGTCTGCGCTCGGATTTTTATTTATTTTGTTTTTTACTCTTTGTCCCATTTCCAAACTTGGCCTTTCCCTTGTATTCAGATTACTGCCCATGGTCTGCTCTTTCCGCAGATACCATACCGTTAGCGGTTTTGTATATTGGTCTAGGGGTATAAAGGCCTACTGATCACTAAAAATCACCGAATATTTAGATTTTTCCAAGCCTTCTAATGGCTATAAAGTCAATATTTTGGTGGTTGTTTATTTATTTGACTGATACTGTCGAATGCACATTTCCAAGAGCTTTCAATATATCTATAAGTGATTGTATGGTTGCCAAAAAGGGTAACATGAGCAGCCCCTAAGCATTATGGTCGGAAACGTTTGGACCCGGCTTGGACATGCAGATGATATACATCTACCGTATAGAATGAAGGAAATGGTAGACATAAAGTGGTTTATTCGGAAAACTTTTTCAATTGAAAAAATTGAAGTTGGAGAGTCGAATGCTGTTATGATATATAACGGCACATACCTGTCGGTTCTGTACGTGAAAAACACTCTGCCACCTCGGAATCAAACCCCTCACACCTCAGACGCCTAGCGACTGGTCTTGGCTTTATTGTGGCGTATTTGGGAACCGAATCATGAAACTCTGAAATAGCAATAACCGGATTTAGTATAGAATCAATCCAACTGGCAAGACTAAATCAAATATCACATATACATCTATGGCATAAAATTAAGGAAGTGGTGCAAATGAAGTGGTTGATTCTGAAACCCTTTTCAATTTAGAGAATTAAAGTTGTAGAGTTGAACTCTGTTTTTACATATAAATGCATACACACCTGTCGGTTCTGTACGTGAAAAACACTCCGCCACCTCGGAATCAAAGCCCTCACACTCGGACACGGTCAGACGTCTGGTGACTGGCATAATGCTTCGATAATCTCGATAAATGAAGAGAGTACTGCAGTGCTGCTGTAGCTAGCTGAGACAATGTCAGACAATGGCGTGACGTCACAATATCGCCAAATGACGTCATAGTGACGTCTAGTCGGTAGATGGCGCTGTCCTTTCGGCGAAAATACTTTCGGAAGAAATCGGCATATTTCGTCTTGAGTGTGTTCCGATTGGTACATAACCGAAACATACCATGATCATGAGATGCTCTTTGTTATTTGGTATAATATCATGGGCTTATATCAAATGATTATGAACAATATCAATCCAAAAACTGTAAAAGGAATTGGCGATATTTTCATGTGTTTTTTCAAATGTATTTCTTTTCTGAAAGAGATTTTTTTTTATTGTGAGCTATCAGTGGCATTTCACAATAGTATTTATATCTGTAAACATATGCTTGCGCAGGAAAGCAACAGGGAAATAGTTTGGTCAAGGCCAGATGAAAGTGTTGAAAAAACTCATTAAGGGTTGAAAAGTCCCTTCTGTGTTACAGGTAAAATGAGTGATTCAGTTGGGTTTTAAGGACGCATGTAACATAATTTCGGTTAAATAGCGGCGTGTCAGATGGATTATGTTTTTTTCTTAAACGTTTGTGAGGATGAAACCTCAGCATCGCTTCAAACTTCTTAGTTCGATACACGTCACTGAGTTACTCAAATATGGAAACTTCTACATCCTTCCGTATCTATATTTTAGGTCTCAATTTGAAAACTGAAAATGACAAGGACCAGTTATCCTTTTAAATTTCCCACCCTTTTTCCTTGTTTTTTTACGCCATGCACTGTTCATGATTATAGCAGATGGACCAGTTGTCTCGCGCGCGTCAAGACGCTGTGCAGACATGCGTCCTTCTTAGACGTACCATATACAGAATTCTCTGGTCGTTGGTTCTTGATTTGTCAGCACCATACAATAGGCTGGAGAATTCTCACTTAGCTTATGATAACATATGAATATGTTCCCGTGTTTGTTCAGGCGAACGCTTGACTTGCCTTTGTGTGTGTTTGTGACCGCTGAGGCAGGATATACTCCCCTTTTCGCCATCATCTGGTGTCATCACTATTTATTAGTGATTCAGAAATACATGTTTATAATACATTCGGAATCGTACAATGGACTCTGCTTTTAGCAGAACTTTCTTATGATTATGGAAAGAGTTTTGTCTATTATTTATGGAAGCTATATATGTATATATATATATGTTTTGTGTAGCCATCAATTCAACTAGCACCAAGGCCAGTACTAAGGGTATGCCCCCAGCCGATCACACAGGTCATCAAAGGGTGTTGAATGAATCTAAAATATGTTGTATTCTTGTCCTGAAAAGATTAGTTTCAATTGAGTAGCCTCGTGGTTAAAGCTGTATTTGTTTGTTTGTTTGAGTTGTTGTTTAACGCTGCTCTCAGCAATAATCCAGTTATATGACGGCGGTCTGTAAAATATCGAGTCTGGACCAGACAATCCAGTGATTGACATCATGAAGATCGATACACGGAATTGTAATACGATGATATGCATCAACCAAGTCAGCGAGCCTGACCACCCGATCCCGTTAGTCGCCTTTTCGGCAAGCATGGGTTGCTGAAGACCTATTTTTTTACCAGGATCTTCACGGGTGAGTGGTTAAAGCGTTCTTAATGCCATAATAAATGTACAGTTGTAGGTGATTTAAAAAACAGAACAAAGAATATAACAGTATAATAAGACCATCCATTACAACACCATGTGTAGCAAAAGTTCAGTATGCAGTTTTCTTCAAACTGAAAGAAAACTGGTCAACTTCACATGTCAATGCTGGAGAGATGTCCTGTTCAATTACTACGATTGTGGATGGTGGACATAAGTAGCATAGCTTTTGATGTAACCTGGTGTAGAAAAGAAACGTTACCACCTGAAATTTGGACACGTTGTTTCCGAACCTTGAGCAGTGTTACATGCAAAATGGATGAGAATCAATCGCCTAAACACAACCAAAATAATCTGCTGAGTGACACAGTACCCAGATCAATGGAAATTGAGTCTGAAGTGAAGATGCTGCTACAGGTGCAGCATGGCAACCAACAAACATACGGTTATTAAAGGAACGATGTACTGTTCATGCATACCCTAACCATTGGACAGTGACAAATAGCATGCCAAGATTAACGCTGCACCTGAGAGAACAAGGCGGAGATATGATACATCAAGGAGCAATACATGACCAGGGCCCACTTGCAGAAAGCGATCTTAGCTCTACGACTATTGTAAGCCTATGTTAAAGAATAAGATTAGATCGCTTTGTGTAAGTGGGCCGAGGTCGCAAGGAGCTTTGCTGTAGCCGAATAACAGTCACCAGGCTCATGGCCCGTTTGGCCATCAATATTTTGTTATGTGTTTCTAATCTCCAACCTTAACCAACAAGAGAGCGGGCGGACCAACTTTGTAAAAAAGTAAACAATTTAAAAAGTGTTTTCAAATAATTGCGTAACATATTTTATGAAATTTTAAAGTTTAGAACACTTGGTAACAGCTCTTACTTTAATTTACTTCGAACCGTTAAATGTAGCGGCGTAATGGTTTGGGCCAAGTTAAGACAGACCTTGTGATTTATGAAGGCAAATATATACTTCTGGACAGCGTTACATTGACCAAGTTCTCCGCCCTGTTGTACTATCGTTCTCATAAGAAAAATCCGGATCCTGTTTCAGCACGATAACACAAGGCCACATACAACGTCTTGCCTTCATCAGATAAGACTTATCACCCATAGAACACTCGTGGACCTCCTTGACCGTCAAATTAGAGCACGGCCAGTTAGCCCTAAAACAGGGATCACAGAGCCACGAGAAGACTGGCGTCGAATCCGTTAAAAACATGACTTTGCACACGAAATATTCGTTAATTATACGACAAAACAGGACTTTCTCGCGAATCCAAATTTGAATGTTGGTGCTGAAAAAGAAGAACAGTGTGTGTATCTTCTTCCGACATCAGGGGGAAGTCTCTTAGGGTGTCCTTACTTATGTTTGTGTTTCTCATCTACAAGATTTTCCAAGAGGGAGCCGGCGAGTGGGAAAAGAGAAAATAAGGAGAAAATAAATGTTTATCTGCGACGTTACGAAGATTTAGTCATGGTCAAAGGGAGACAATTCAATCTATTTTTAATTCCATTGGGTAACGCTGTGGTCATTGTGGCACAATGAATATCATAGTTACTGCAGTGCCGATTTACCCAAATGCATTTTGGCATAAACCCATATCCCATTAGATCAAAACTTTGACGACGGTACAATATATTTTTTTAGAATGGCAAGTGCAGACGACATGACGTATGCTTTAGGATTTAACGATCTAAAGCCTGGCATTGTTTGTTTGTTTAACGCCGCACTCAGTAATATTCCAGCTATATATCGGCCGTCTGTAAATTATCGAGTTTGGACCAGACAATCGAGTATTTGACATGAGCATCGATTCAATTCAACTGGGATACGATGACATGCATCAACCAAGTCAGCGAGCCTGACACCCGATCCCATGAGGCGCCTCTTAGGACAAACATAGTTCCCTTTTACGGCAAGCATGGGTTGCTGAAGACCTATTCTACCCAGGATCTTCACGGGTATGTATCTATATTATGAAATTGCTCAGTGGATGACCTTAGAAAATATGAGTATTGGTAAGTCCAGTCAGAGTTGATCTGTCATATATACTACTCATCATTTGCTAAGGACCACCCTTTGCCTAAAGATGACTTGTTTGGTTCTTAGCAAATGTTGAGTAGCATATATACACCAGGGAAAAGTCCAAGTCTTATCTTGCAGCTGTGTAAGTTTGCTATTATTTACCAACCGGAAGTCATGATTGGTTGGTTTGTTGTTTAACGCTGCACTCAGCAATATTCCAGCTATATGACGGCGGTCTGTAAAAAATCGAGTCTTGACCAGACGATCCAGTGATTGAAATCATGAGCATCGATCAACTGGGATCGATGACATGCATCAACCAAGTCAGTGAACCTGATGGTATGCAGAATAATATATGTTGCAGATTGATGGAATATTGTTGACCTTGGGCAGTCTATAGTTCTAATTACAGAAACTTGTATTGCTGGCACAGTGTCTCATCTGTGTTCCCTGTGCAGTAGGAGGTTGTTCCCCACTGTGTTGTATCATGTGCCATTGAAACGTTTCAGACTGCTGAAATTATCCATTACATAGTATCAAACACATAGGTTGATGCAAGTTGACTGAATATGAACCCATTATCTACATCGGCAAGTGATGGTGTTCTCAATACACCAGCTACATGTTCCCCACCATAGATAGTAGAACGTCTATTTTACAAATTTGTATTTCCAGGAGACGACTTGATGGTAGAGACACTGTTGATACTACGTGTTTACACAATCACATCATGCACTGATTATATTCTATCTTTAATAAGTACTTATGTAACTTGGGGTGTTTCGTGTCATTAAGGGGCATTGGGGAGCTTAGTGGGTAAAGCGTTCTCTCTTCCCATGTATAGGTACACTCTATGAAAGTCCACCTTCGTAGTCCCTGCCTCGATAGTGAAAGGATACTTCTAAAAGCACCATTTAAATCACTAATGAATGGAAGGTGAACCATTGTCAATATGTTAAAATTAATGGAACACATGTCCAATACATGTTGACAGATCTCTTGTAACTAGTGAAAACCAACCATTGTTAACAAATAACGAAGACAATGCTCTTGAACTGAAACAATTGTTATTACCATCATTAAAAAGGACTGAATTACATTAACATTTGTTTCTTCTGAACAGTTTCGTAAAACGACCAAAGAAAGATTTTGACTTTTGTACATTTTGTTTCTGATTACAAGTTTCTATTAAATTGGTTGTGCTTGATGACATATGTTTCTTTGATGACAGACTACTTTGAGAGAGTTCATGATGTCTTGTTGACCTGTTGTCTTGTTCACGAGGTATGTCATTCTTTGATTGGACAATGTGGTCAAAGCACGTGGTCTGTGTAGCCCCTGACCACTGAACAAGTCCAATGCCCTCTCCCTCTCCTGAATGTACAAGTAGTCTTTCAGCTCTCAACATGTCCACCTCCTTCACCAAGCGATCCACCTGCTCCCCAAGGGAGACTTTCTCCCCCGAGAGTTGTCTGACTTGTCTCTGAAGATTTTGGTTCTTCAGTTTCAGACATTGGGAACGAAGTCGTGCATCTTGTAGGTCAGCCCGGAGAATATCCACATCAACCAGGACAGCCGTAAGCTGAACGTGGAGTTCGAGCTCTTTGCCAAGTTGTTTGTCCTTTTTACTACAGTCCCATTGGAATGGTGGCTCGGGACGAAT